CTCAAATATATACGCGAAAATTCACACGCGCGTATACACGCACACCACGCGCACACCACACACACACACGCGCGCGAACGCACACACACACGCGCGCGCGCATATACGCAAACAAACGCACTCAAATACACGCACGCACGCACGCACGCACGTGCACACACGCACACACACACACACACACACACACACACACACTGCCATTCGGCATATATATAGCACGGCATTACATCATAGCTTAGAAATATTGATTCCTCTAACTATAATATGATGTGCTATTGTGCATGTTGTTGCGTGCGTGCTGCGTTGTTGTTTTTCTCCAGTGCGTTTTTTCCGAGTAAACATTTCGTTTTTAGATCGCAATTAACGAGCGAGGGCGCGCGACTCGTCATGGTTGCTGGTAGGACACCAGATGGCGTAACATCGCTGCTGGCAGCAGCTGCGGAAAGGTCGCGCGACGGAGAGTTTCTCGCGTTGCTTGACCACGCATATAGCAGTCCGACCAGCCTGCATCCGTACAGGGGTTACGCGCTACTTAACACAGACACACAGAGCACCGATGTGCAGGTATGTCGTCATGCGTAACTAACTAGCTACTAATTAAAAAAAGCTTAAAATGCGACACTTCTCACTCCGTATGTGACACTCTCTCTCTCTCTCTCTCTCTCTCTCTCTCTCTCTCTCTCTGTCTGTGTGACACTTCTCACATCGTGTGTGACAATTGTCTCTGCGTGCGTGACACTTGACACTTGTCTCTATGTGTGTGACGTGACACTTATCTCTCCATGTGTGACACTTATCACTCCGTATGTGACACTTCTCACTCCGTATGTGACACTTCTCACTTCGTGTGTGACAATTATCTCTTCGTGCGTGACACTTGACACTTGTCTCTATGTGTGTGACGTGACACTTATCTCTCCATGTGTGACACTTCTCACTCCGTATGTGACACTCTCTCTCCATGTGTGACACTTCTCACTCCGTATGTGACACTTCTCACTCCGTATGTGACACTTCTCACTCCGTATGTGACGCTTCTCACTTCGTGTGTGACAATTGTCTCTGCGTGCGTGACACTTAACACTTGTCTCTATGTGTGTGACGTTACACTTATCTCTCTGCCTGTGTGACACTTGTCTCTCCATTTTTGACACTCCTCACTCCGCATGTGACACTTCTCACGGTGTGTGTGACACTTCTCACTGTGTCTGTGACACTTGGTGACACTCTTGTGCTGCAGCGGGTGAGCGGCGGCGGCGACCGTCGTCCCATCTGGTTCGTCTGCTCTGGCACGGGCGCGCAGTGGGCGGGCATGGCGTGCGACATGATGCGCGTGCCCGCCTTCCGGCAGACGATATCGCGCCTAGCCGATACGCTCGCCGGTCACGGGGTCGACCTGCGTGACGTCATCAGCGCGTCGGGGAGGAGGGAGGCGGAGAAGATGCTGGAGAACAGTACACCTGTCCTTCTGTCCTCGGTCACCGCCGTACAGGTAAACACGCGATCGATGCCGATGCCGTATGTATGTCAAGAGTACATAGTAGAGATACTCTAACATAAACTAACATAATCTCTATTATGTACTCTTGATGTATGTATAGGGCCTATGTATGTGTGTGTGTGTGTGTGTGTGTGTGTGTGTGTGTGTGTGTGTGTGTGTGTGTGTGTGCGTGTGCGTGTGCGTGTGCGCGTGTGCACTAATTTATGGAAGGTTGGTGTATCGCGCTGAAAATTTGCCTCGTCCGATCAACAGGTGGCGCTAATAGATGTTCTGCACGAGCTTGGCGTCTGCGCAGACGGCATCGTCGGCTACTCGCTCGGCGAGATCGCCTGCGCCTACGCCGACGGAGGCATTACAGCGGAAATGGCCGTACTTATCGCCTACAATGTAGGCAGATGCGTGAGCGAGGCGAAACTATCCGTTGGCAAGATGGCCACCATCGGTAAGTCACGTGAGAACTCGCCGAGCAATCACGCTGTTTGCCCTCACCGCACACTGCGATATGTTGGATATTTATTTTCCGGGGAATTTTGTTTCTGACAGCGAGTTTTTACTGTCTACACATCGTATTACTGTATTCTACCGTGTATAGTTACCGTTTGAGTACGTACGCGCTTCAGACAGATAAATACGCATTCGTATACGAATATGCACGCGCGGGCGTGTGTGTGTGTGTGTGTGCGTGTGTGTGTGTGTGTGTGTGTGTATAGGGTTGACGTGGGAGGAGACGAGGCGTCGCTGTCCGGCCGACGTCACCGCCGCGTGTCACAACTCTCGCGACAGCGTCACCATCTCAGGGCCGGCTGCGAGCGTTGACGCATTCATCGCCGAACTGCGAGCAGCTGACGTGTTCGTGGGGGAGGTGGCGACATCTGGCGTCGCCTTCCACTCTCACGAGATGGCGCGCATCGCGACTGACGTGAAGGCTGCTCTAAGCGACGTAAGAATGGTTTAACTACGCCTACTGAACATAGATAAGAGTAAGAGTTCGGTTTATCTATATGTCGCGAGTTACATATATTTTCGCTTTTTGCGCTGTCTTAACATTATTAACGAAAGTTGAAAAATGGTCTTCACGTGGATGAAGAAAGTTAAAAAAGGTTATTATTAATGCTTGTGTTATTGTAGCTACCGGTGTGCGGATTGTCTGCCAGTCCTGCGTCCACGCCAACAAAGACTTCTAAAAATCATTCATGCTTATGCTCGCTATAAATCTACTGCGGCAACGCAGTTCACGTTTAAACGTTAACGTGCGGGATACTTTGCAACAAAATATCGAGTCAGTATACGTAACGAGTTGATGATTGCATCGAGTGCAATAAAGTGTTAAACAAGTTAATAACATGTTAAACAAGTTAACAACGTGTTAAACGAGTTAATAACGTGTTAAAGAAGTTAATAACGTGTTAAACGTGTTAATAATGTGTTACACGAGTGCAATAACGTGCTAAACAAGTTAATAACGTGTTAAACAAGTTAACAACGTGTTAAACGAGTTAATAACGTGTTAAACGAGTTAATAACGTGTTAAACAAATTAATAACGTACTAAACAAGTTAATAACGTGTTAAAGAAGTTAATAACGTGTTAAACGTGTTAATAATGTGTTACACGAGTGCAATAACGTGCTAAACAAGTTAATAACGTGTTAAACAAGTTAACAACGTGTTAAACGAGTTAATAACGTGTTAAACGAGTTAATAT